TTTAGCTCTGCATGATGTAAGAGAAGCATCAAATTTAGAGAAAACAACTAGCAATGGCATGCATAGAATGTTATCCCAACGTTTGGAAGAGGCAAGAGAAACAGAGGAGCACATGTGGCTAGGGCGTGGGGGGGGGGCGGGGGGGGGGGTATTTCCCAGTACACTGCCCCCCAAGCCCTAGGATGAAAGACGAAGGGGTTTTGGTTTCGTTTAAGGTGCCTGGGGTTTCCTCTGGATAGGTCGGTTTTCGGGCTTCGAGTCCTTTAGTTCACATGGCCTACGGACGTGACTCTTCCTCAGGGCGTGTGCCTCGCTACAGCCGCGACTTTTGGCTTTTTGTATCTGAGCGCATTTATGAGGGGTCTTTTGGCCTTCCCCTCCTTGCTCTATATATAGTGTGTGTATCGTGTGCGTTCCGCGTACTCATACACATTCTTTGTCCTGAAACCCCCTATTCAAGCTCTATTTCGAGTACTTTCAAAGGTAGGTTTAGCTTGCTTGATCTAATTTGTGGAGTAATCCATGGCTATTGAAGAGATAAGGTTGTCTTCTGGGTTGTTGGTCGGCACGAGGGAGTCATCGCCTAACCCGGAGAGGGTGTTCAGCTTGTCCGACGAATCGGTCGAAAGGGTGAGCCCTGCGGATAGTGTTGATTCGGGGGATTCGTTCGGCTCGGACCTTCCAGACACCGAGATGGATCCCCGAGACTACCGCCAAAAATTTCTACCGTGCGAGGTGCCCGGGTATGAGTGGGTGGATGGTGAGGTAGCGGCTTACTTCTCTTGTTTTTAAGAGAGGGCCGCTGTGGAGCGTCTCTTGGGGGTGTGTCAACTAGCCCGTTGGGAAGACGTTGACCCTTATCTAATTATGTTGCGTCGGTGCCGGGCCAAAGGCCCTGGTGCCACAAATTTTGTTTTTCTGTCAAAGCAAGAGGGCCAAAGAGATTTCTTTTATGTATACGAGTGTTTTTTTCGAGAGCTAGGTGTGTCACTCCCTTTTGATGATTTTCAGATGGGGGTACTTCGTGTTTTAAACGTCGCTCCGACCCAACTACAGACGAATGGGTGGGTTGTCATGCAAGCCTTTCAGATTCTCTGTAAATACCATTACATAGAGCCAACCGTAGGATTATTTTTACAATTTTTCTGCACCCGGCCTTCCCATAAAACGGTCAAGTGGTTATCCTTGATCCGGCATGCTGACCAACCACTTTTGAAGCCTTTCACTTCGTCCTTTAAGGGTTTTAAAGGAGGTTTTCTCAAAGTTATTATAGATTCTGTTGTCAGGTGCAACTATTTTTATGATGTCGAAGAGAAACCTCTGTTTCCTTTCTATTGGACCTAGGTGCCCTGAAAGTATGACGAGTTCCCGATCGAAATGATGACCGAGGAGGTGTCGGACTTGGAATACTTGAAAAACCTTCTTAGAGGAATTCTGGCCCGATTTCTCGTGCTGTTGTCGAAATCACCTAGGCCTCGTTTTGATTTAGAGGGTATGTATTTTGTTTTCTGTCCTCGTTCATGTCGGGTTGATGTGTGACTTGTTTATAATTTGCAGGTTGGATGGCTCAGCAAGGGTTCGGTCTCTCATACCGCCAAGCCTTACACAAACAGGCCCTGGCGGGTACTTGGCCAAAGAGCATCGGAGCATGGCAATTGACCAAGTTCCCAAGATTAACGAATTGATGCCGACTCCTCCGGTCGTGGTACTGGCAGACCCAAACAATAAGAAGAAAAGGGACCAAGGCAAGGGAAAAGCCGATGGTGGAGGATCTGAAGTCCCCAGGCCTAAGCATCGTAGGACTAACTCCTCAACCAACCTGGCAGTTCCTTCGGCCATTGTGGCTAAGGATTTTTTGTCCGAAGAGATCTGGCCGGCCCAAATGATGTCTTTGGACCTTCTCTCCGAGGAGGGGCACCGGATGTTGGATGCTATGGCCCCTTCGGCTCAATGGGCCATGGCATGCAAGCTTCAAGTTAGGGCCACTGCTATTTTGAGGAAGCTTGCTTTGGAGCCGATGGTCGACGCCCACAAGCTTCAGAGAAGTTTGGAGGAGACAAGGTCGGCCCTTCAACAATCGGTTGATGCTCATGAGGCAACGTCGACCAAGAAGTTACAATTGGAGGCCGAGGTGGCCAAGCTGAAAGAGGCACTTGGGGAGATGGAAGGTCGGGCCGTTGCTGCTGAGGACGCTGAGAAGATGAGGGTGCAGGAGGTACAGGAAATGGTGGCACGCGAGGCTCAAGTAAAGGCCGAGGCCGAAGTTGCGCTGGAGGCCTTCAAGACGAATTGTGAAAATAAAATAATTAAGGAGCACGAGACCGGTTTCATGCATGCCGTTCGGCAAGCCACACACTTCTGTTCCATCCCTCCAAACTTTGCTTTTGTGCTAAGCAAAGATTTCTACCGGGGGGTATATATGGACTATGCCGATATGCCCGACGGCGCTGAGCCGGATGAAGTCGCTCCTACTCCAGCGGCCGCTATTGAAGATCCCGGCACCACCATGAACGATGACGAGGAAACTCGGGATGAAGACGGTGCTAAATAGTAGCTTCGGCCTTATTCTTTTTTGCATGCATCTGTTTTGTTGATGATGTATAGGGGTATTGTTTTTTGTTAACTTGATTTTTTGTTGATTGTATTTTGGGACGTTAGTGCCTTCTGATGGTTGTACCCTTGGTCGATAGTGCCCTAATTAATGGAACGTTCTTTTGCTCAATAGTCGGTGTATTCTTTCCTTTTACCCGTCGTCCGATTTACGTTGGCGTAAGACTTCAATTTTTCTTTAAGGGACCTTCATTTAGATTTGTTCCGGTTTGGTTCTCAGTTGGGAAGGTTTAACCATCCTTGACCGAGGGGTGTGTTCGGTAGGTATGTCGTGGCCTACCTTAGGCGATTAAGGTACTTGGGAGAGCAGCACTCTTGCCTTGTTTGATCGAGAAAGGTGCATGGCAAGGGATTTATTATTTTTGTCTGAGTATATGTACTCTCGAGAGGGTTCCAAGTTGCCATCCTTGACTGAGTAGGGGTACTCGGGAGGGTGCAAGTGGTTCATCCTTGACCGAGTATGAGTACTCGGGAAGGTACAAGTGGTTCATCCATGGCCGAGTAGGGGTACTCAGGAAGGTGCAAGTTGTTCATCCTTGACCGAGTAAGGGTACTCGAGAGGGTGCAAGTTGCTTATCCTTGGCCTAGTAGGGGTACTCGGGAGGGTGCCAGTTGCTCATCCTTGGCCGAGTAGGGGTTCTCGGGAGGGTGCCAGTTCA